TCTTCACCAGCAAGTGGGATGTTAGTAGCCCCTATTTCAGAAGGTTGTTGGAAAAGTGAATTCAGTACCTATTAAAGTCATGCAGCCAGCCGGGCTCGGTGGCTCAGCCTGTAATCCTGCACTTTAGGAGGCCGAGGTGAGTGAATTGCCTGAGCCCGCGGGTTCGTGACCTGCCTGGGCAGCTTGGCGAGACCTCATCTCTACAATACATCAAAAAATTAGCCGGGTGTGGTAGCGCGCGCCTGTAGTTCCAGCTACTTGGAAGGCTGAGGCAGAAGGATCGCCGGAACCCAGCAGGGCGGGGCTGCGGTGACCGGGAGCAGCCACTGCACTCCAGTCTGAGCAGCAGAGTGAGACTCCAACTCAAAAAAAAAAAAAAAAGTTAGCCGGGCTCGGTGGCTCAGTCTGTAATCCCGCGCCTTTGGGAGGCTGAGGTGAGTGGATTGCCTGAGCCCGCGGGTTCGAGACCCGCCTGGGCAGCGAGACCTCATCTCTACAATAAATCAAAAAATCAGCCGGGCGTGGTAGCGCATGCCTGTAATTCCGGCTACTCGGAATGCTGAGGCAGAAGGATCGCCGGAGCCCAGCAGGTCGAGGCTGCGGTGGCCGGGAGCGGCCACTGTACTCCAGTCTGAGCGACAGAGTGAGACTCCAACTCAAAAAAAAAAAAAAAAGTCATGCAGCCAGTTTGAATGGCAGTGATTTGACCTGTTCTATATTTTAATCCACAAACAACCCATGTAATTAATGTTTGCTTAAATGTTTTAGTCTGTTTGGTAGAACCCACTAATGGCGTCATCATCATCGACTACTCTTTAAGGATAGCCTGCAGGAAGTGTTCAGAGGTATGTTTCAAAACCTTGAGAGGGCCGGACACAGTGGCTCACGGCTGTCATCCCAGCACTTTGGGAGGCCAAGGCAGGAGAATTGCTCGAGCTTTGGAGTTTGAGACCAAACTGGGCAACATAGCGAAACCTCATCTCTGTACAAAAAATTAGCTGAGCTTGGTAGCATGTGCCTATAGTCCCAGATACTTGGGCTGCTGAAATGAAAGGATCGCCTGAGCCCAGCAGGTTGAGGCTGCCATGAGCCATGGTCATTGTGATCATGCCACTGCACTCCAGCCTGGGTGAGAGCGAGACAGCGAAAAAAAAAAAAAATTCCTTGAGGGAAAGTGTTATTTTTCTATAATTGTCTTGAATAACTAGTGGGAAGAATTAGTTACATTCTTCACATCATACCATAAATTCAAATAAAACCAAGATGGGATGGAAACAACAGCCGAGTAGATAAAAATATACTTGACTGTTTTTGAAATCCTAGGATGAAGACTTTTCTAAGAATGTCCCTAAAGCCATAAAACATTAAAACACATATTGATGGGCTTAACAGTGCATAAATAAAAAATTCTGTCCTATAAGACAATGCCATTAACAAACCTGCGTTCAAATAACCTTTTACATTGGAACGATCATCCTATGAATTTGTTGACCAAGTCGGGAGAAGGCCCTGCTCGCTCTTCTTCAGTGGTCAGCATAGCAGGGCATATTGATTTACTAATGAGGCTGTGATTTCACCTTATTGGCAGTGCAAGTGGCATCTGCCTGTCCTGCTGAGTAATCCAGCCTGGTAGCCGAGGGGGGGTTTATTCAACCTTCACTACCAGGGAGTTCCCTGTGGTTAGATAAACTGATCTGTTGCTTGGTAACTACAGGATTACTACGGTGGATGCTCAGGAAGCCGGGTGGAGAGGGGTACGGGTATGTGGGGGGCAAGGAGGGCGAGAGAGTTGGCAGGTTCCCGGGAGCACTGCAGCCTTGGCAGAAGGAGGACCAGAGCGCCCATCGCATGCTCGGGTTTAGAACAGTTCACCTTCCCATCTGCACTTCGCCTTTCCAGCATTGGGCCTCAGAACAAAGGAAAATGAGTCAGGGAGCTGGCCATGGGACATGTGGATCCTGTTGGGGCGGCTGTCATGACAGCAGGCGAAACCCCTGCAGGGTTGGCCCCAAGGTTCTTTCCCTAAGGAGAAGGTCTGGCTCTGGGAAATGTGAGACCCCCAAGAACCTCTGAGCTAGTGGACTGCTGGGCTTGCGTTCCAAGTCGAGAGGACGTTGACTAAAGCAATGAAACAGCTAGGATACGTTGCGCTGATAACCCAAGGCAAGTAAGGCATCTCCAAGGCGACCTTCCGGCATCCGCTCCCACAATGTGAACCCGAGCATCCTGCCCCTGTTCGAGTGCCCACGACATGCCCACCAGGCTTGCCTTCCTCTGCCCAGACCCAGCGGGGCTTGTCTGTGAAGGGACAGGTCTTCAGGAACAGTGGAAGTGGCCCTGGTGGTGTGGTGTCCACAGAGGTGTGTGTCTGCCCTGTTGTGTAGGTTGCGTGGGCTTCTGAGCCTGCCCCTGGCTCTGTCTGTGGCCTGCCAGTCTGGAGCCTGGGCGCCTGCCTGAGCGCCCTTGCTGGAAGGTGCTTCCAAAGCCTGCACCCCCTCTGTAGGCAATTAGTGTATCAATCCCCCAGATAAGGTTCTGGATGTTTATTTTGCTTTAGCGGGAACAGGAGCAGTCATTGACGTGCTAGAGCTTATGCTAGAGAAAATATTTTGACTGAAATTTTGCATATTTTGAAACTCAGGTTGTTACATTTAAAATTATACACATTGTGAACCTGGCTTCAAACAGGAGGGAAGAAAAAGCATTCCTTCCTGTCAGAACCTTTTCACTCTGTCTGTCATGTAACCTGACTAAAAATAAACTATGAGCTTGAGAACTGGCAGTCTTCAGTGTGGAGCGAGTTGAGTGCTCTCAACTTCAAGCCCGGCTCCTGCCGCTTCCTGACCACATGTCAGCCCTCCGCGGCCCAGACCTCCACCAGGGACGCCGAGGCCCACGGGCAGGCATCCGGGGTGAGGCTCGCTGCTCTTGAGGAAGTGGTGGCTGCTGTCAGAAGAGCCCTGGCCTAGCCAGCGGGGGCTGCAGGGTCCATCCTAGCTCCTGCACAGCTCTGGGGAAAGTGTGGGCATCTCTGGCCCTCAGAGTCCTCACATTCACCTGTGACTGCCATCCACATGTCAGTGACCATCCAGCACCATATGCCTTAGTCTGGTCCTCACAGAGCCGTATGAGCTTGGTTCTCAGTGAGGAAACTGAGGCATGGAGCCTGAGTTACTCCATGTCCTCAGCCAGTGAGCAACAGCCGAGTTCCAGCCCCGGCTCCTCCCCCTTCCACCCTGTGCTCTGCTCTCCATCCTCCCCATGCCTTACTCCTCAGTCCTCCGGCTCCTGCCCCGCCATCCTGCTGAAACAGCCGCAGAAAACCACAAAGGATGCCCACATCATAGGGTGCCCATTTCCCACCTTGGGCCTGCTGAGCCCTCCTGCTGAGCCTCATCCTGCAAATCCCTCCCTCCTCTGGACAGGCAGCCTGGTGGCAAGGGCGCAGGCAGGAGTCCCCTGCCCTGGACCTACAACCTGTTTCTGCACTTACTTGCCTTGTGATCTCGGGGCCAAGTTGGCCTTTTTCTCTGTTAATGAGGGTAACAATGGCACCTCCCAAGGATTAGAGGGGATAATGTGCATAAATCATTGTGCACAGAACTCAGAAAGTCTTCCATGTGTGCTTCTGGTCCTCTCATGAGATCCTGCCCCTGCCCCACGCTCACCCTAGAAACTCTTAGGCTGAGTTTTTCTCCTGATTATCCCCCTTGTTTCAAATCTTTTTTCCTAGCAGAGGTTGACTTTGTGTTTCTTCCTGTATGTTACTGTGGAAAACACCATTGTGTGACTGTCCTCTGGAGTGTGATTGTAGACAGGTATTATTACTTGAACCCAGTTATGATGGGATTCGACAAGCTTTCACACTCTGGTTAATAGCACAGCATTAGTCTTGTGTCTAATTCCTGGATTTTAAAGGCATTCTCTTACATTTATGTTGACCACAGTTTCAGTTGTTTATCTTCTGATTATTACAGCAAAGGAAACACTGTCAATAAAGTAGTAGAGCGTAGCATCCACTTTTTGTAAGAACTGAATGACACTATTATCCTAACACACTACCGTTTTGGTGTTGAAGGAGTTGCCAACAAGCAAGTGTTGGCAGTGTACCAGTAATGATTTTATTATTATTGTTTTGGTTAAAGTCCTGTCTTAAGAAACATCATTTTATTCTTCAATTTTCATGATCATTCTTCTTGTGTATGATTGAACATCTACAAATTTCCTCCTCTGATCTTCTGATCAAATGGTGAGACTGCTGTCTTTTGAGAACAGTGCCTATGATTCAACATCTGAAATTGATTTTCAGCCTTTGGCACTTTCCAAGTAGATTAGGGCAGGGGGAGACTCCCTTTACTCCTGGGTCTGTGTGGGCTGCACCGACCTGCCATTCTCAGGTCAGGTGCAGACCCTGACCTGCGGTCAGAAATGTTTTTAAGGGCCTTTTCAGCCAATGAAGAGCGATCTGACTGACATCCCCAGCCTTGGCTGTTTGGACACGGTAGGTGTGTGTGGGCCTGGTGGGGCTCTGTCCTTCAGGGCTGAATCCGAGGCTCTCCATTGCCCAGGAGGAGTCCAGTGGCTTTGAACTGCATCAGGGTTCCGGGCACGCCTGCACTGCTTTATGTTGTCAAGTTTTTAAGGTGGGTTTTTCCCCATCCTTTGGCAAACTGCTGCATCATACACCTCATTTGCCATCAGAGCATGAGGGTGTGTAGTTCTTTTTTTTCCCATGAAAACAACACAGAACAAAGCCTCACTTTTAAAAATGCCATGATATTTTGCCACCGTTATGAAAATCTGTCAGCGCCGTATCTAATCTTCTGTTGCATAGAATATCAAAACAAGTACTATTGAAGGGATTGTACTTCTGTTAATACAAAAATGTCAGCTTCACAGTCTCAGAACCAGCTGCTGTGCTCTCAGCCTCTTTCCAAATAAGAAAGAAAAAAAAATAATAATAAAGTTTATCTTCCCCCTCTGCTGTTACTGTTCTTTAGGCCTGACCTTCGTACGAAGACCCAGAGTAAACACCGCCTTGCTGAAATCTTACGTTCAGAATACTCAAGTGGGCTGGAAGCCAGTGTCGCCAAGGTCAAAAAGCAGAACAAACGTGGAGAGCCTGGCCGCCAGCCCCTACAGCATGGTGTGCAGCCGGCCCCTGCCTTGGCTGTGGGAAAGAAAGCAAAAACAAAGAAAACACCAAAAGGTCTTACGAAGGGACGGTGAAGCTTCCCAGAAAGTTTTTAAAAAACCACTCTCTACAAAACTAGGTCTCACTTTGACTTGTGGAAGCCCCAGTGACACCGGACTGATGTCGTGTTCTCATCAGAGGAAGCTTGGGAAAGATAACTGCCCCGTTTCCCTGAATACTATGTCCCCAAGACTCAAAGGAGCTCTCATAGAAACCGGGGGGGGCGGCGGCAGCACAGCAGAAACTCCCATGTAACCAAGGAAGGTGTCTTACATCCTGTTCTGACTCCTTAGGTGCCAGGCCCTGCTCCCCACCCAGCTGCCAACTTGCCAGGCAAGACGGGGCTGCCCCAAGAGGTGGTATGATCGTGCCCTGTGCATCAGCCCAGAAGGGACTTGACCCCTGCCCTGGAACCCACTTGCAGAGGGCCCGAAAGAGGAAGGGTTAGAAGCCTCAGCACTGCATCTAGACTTCCCTCCTGTCCTTGCTCAGGTCTCATTCTGTTTCCCTTCCCCTCTGCAGCTCTGAAGGAGTTTCACAGCTTGACTTCAGCCCCATCCATGCAAAAATTGACATGAGTTTTGTGAAGTAGGATGTTACAAACTGAAATGGAATTTGTACGCAAAGCAACAAAAATCTTCTTTAAGTAACAATTTTCTTTATGTAGTCATGCTTTGTTAAAAAGAACCAAAAGTGTATGGTCTGGGTCAAAAATACCAAGGTGTCTTCAGCCACGCAAGCCCTCCTGCTTCTTCGATCAAGGCGCTGCAGTAACATGTTGCATTTACATACATTGCTCCGTCTCTCATGTCCTCAGAAAACTCACTCTCTCAGGGCTAATTGATTTACTGTTGCCTTTTTATTACTTGCCTTTGAAGTCAAAAGGCTCCAGCGTCCCAAGCTTTTTTCCCCCCATCGAATCCTGTCTTGTCTTCAAGAGAGGTCTGGGGGTCTTTGTATTGTGACCCAGGCCACAGCTGCCCCCACCCCCATTGTGTCTTCTAGAAGGTTTGAAAGAGCCCCCTGGAGTGTATTGATTTCCCAATAAATGTAAGATTTGGACACTTGCAGAGGGGCCCGAAGGAGGAAGGGTTGGGAGCCTCGCACCGTCTAGGCGCTGCTGCTGTCCTCTCCGCTCTGGCTCGTTTCTCTCTGCAGTCACTGTGCAGCCGTCTTGGGTTTCCACAGGACGTGTGCAGAAGTGTTGCGTAGACCCCCAGATCCACATGAGCTCAATGGCCAGGAGAGGGTGGGCAGAGTTGGCAAGGTGGGCCTTTCTGCAGGGACCGGGTGGGATCGGCGTCTTCACCTCCGTGCCAGACGTGAGTGAATGTCAGCCAACGCCACACCAGACAGGACTCCAGGGTGAGGGCGAGTGTGAGCCTAGTGAGAATTGATCCTCAGCGGGAGGAAACTTCTCGATTGGACCTTCTCGGAGTCAGCTGTCACATAGGAACTCATAAGGACCCTTGGTGAAATTTGTAACGATAGTTATAATAAAACAACAACCCTGCAGCACATGTCAAACTGACTCTGGGCAAATCTGCCACCTTTCTTTTATTTCTGTGTGTAATGGTTCACATGATTTGGATGAGAAAAGAAGGGATCAAACTTTATAGACAAAACCCAGCTGTGTGAAAAACAGGATTAATGCCAGTGATTGGGGATGATCAAAGAGAAACCTTCCCTTTTTTTCCATAGTACTCATTCCACTAAAGGGTGAATTGGCAGAGTTGTGCATTCCTGGGGGGGAGAGAAGTGCTGGAACCACGCAAAGTGAGTGGCTGCAATTCCAAAGATCAAAACTTACACACTTTATTTGCTAACTCTTAGGTGAGCATTTCTCGTCATAGATACTATAAGGGCCTGTTTCTAAGCAGAATCAATCTATTACCCCAGTTAATAAAGAAACATGGATTTAGCAGATTTAGGGTTAATATTATTTAAATTTAAATAACCTTAAAATAAATCTCTCTCTTATCGTGGCTCTTGACAGATTATACCTTTCAGGCACCAATTAGGCAAAGCCCTAGCCTAATTCCACTGTACATATTCTAATTTTTGTGTGTATTTTTAATCGTGCCTCTTCCCCCCCCCCCCCAAACTTACTCGTGCCTCTGCCATAAGCCTGGTTCCCATATTTAAAGTCACAGAGAAATGTGGACATTTATTGGAATGTTGCAACCTAAAGCTTTTCTCCCCAGCGGACTTGTAGAATGCTGTTTTGGAATCTGAAACAGCTTCATGACTGCAACCCTTAGCAGCTGCACCTCTTCAGAGGGGCCCCCCATTCTCACGCACTGAGAGGCAAAGAGCCTGGATGAGAGATTAAGTCAGTGTTGATGCAATGCAGGGAGCGTCTTCCACTGTCAGAAAAGCAAGAAGCCAACCAAGTCTCACAAAGGACATTTTTGCACAAAGCTCAGTGGGTTCCTAATATATTTCCCCCCTGTAGTGATGGGAGGTGAGATTCAGGGAGGAGAGGGGGTAAATGAGACCTTTCGGGGCAGGTGTATTCCCAGCTGCCAGTGGTCTCCCTGCCTAGCACCTTGGCCCTCCACCACACAGTCAAGGGAAGGCATCGCTTCCTCGAGACAGAAATGTCAGGCTTGTCCACTCGGGAAGTCGCCCCGTTTGGAAAGGGCTCTTAACGGGTCTTGTGAAGTCGCCTATATGGCCATTATACTTTCTCTCTTAATCCGCTCCCCCATAGGAAGAATTCAGAGCAAGGCCTGTCAGTTATGGGGGCCGTGGGGCACCCTTAAAATCAGCTCCAATTCTTGGTTTCTGAAGCTTTGCAACTGAGGGTTGGCTGGGAGAGCTACACTTCTTTTAAACTTTTGTTGCCCACTCCCTGCTGAGTGCAGGGGTTTTTTTTGGGGGGGGGCGACGGGTCAGGAGAGGGGCCTGCCCTATTGTTCTGTGTGTTGGGGTCTCTCACATTCTTTTTTTCTGTTTTAAATGAGAGCTCACTCAGCCCCAGGGTTGGGAACAGAGAAACCAATCGAGCCTTCTAAGCGAATGAAAGCAGACACTCACCTCACCGCAAAGGTTGCGGAGTTATTATTGCAGATGGGATGTGCGGGACAATTTAAAATATTGTAATTATGAACTTGTCGGGAAGCCTTGTTCTTCATTAATGTCAGCTATGAGATCGCCCGGGAGGTACAAGGACAATTACATAGTTGAGAATGTGTCTGCGGTTTACACTGCCGCTGTGTAAATGTAAGGGTGGTTGCGCGAGTCTGCCTTTTTCCACTCTCACAAAATGAAAAGCACACCAGTGCAAGTTGTCCTTTGATAGATTTTTAATATGATTTTAAAGAGTTTTGTTTGGTCTCATTCTTATTCAATGAGATTAATTTAAAGCACTTATCCCCTGGGTTTAAGTCAATCCATGTAGGATTTGGGCTGGGTTTGTTGCATGGGGGGTTTTGTTTGCAGGAGGCTATGAGAGACTCCTTTCCCACTTCATTAACCCTGAGTTGGGGACAGTCCCCCCTCGCCCCCCACCACAGCCAGAGCTGGGGATTTACCAGCCCCCATTCACATGCAAAAGAACTCGAAAGCCGAGGGGCTTCTTGACTTAATTAGCTGCTGTGCATTTTGCAAAATTAGAATAATACCCTCGCCATCCCGGGGAAGAAAAGCCTCCTTGCCGGGTGCTGGGGGTGGGGAGGAAACTGTAACAGACCTGGCTGCGGGTCTGGTTTTCGGAGGGGTTATAGTCAACGCGGCCCCTGCCCCCTCCGCCAGGCAGCCCTCTTCCTGCCGTAAAACCAGACTGGGGGCTTGGCTTGCTGGGCCCCCAACCCCAGCCCTGAGGGTCAGTGAGCTGCAGGTGGTGTGTGGCAGGGAAGCACCTGCGCCCACCTCCCTGGAGAGGGGACAGTCTCTGGAGGTGACCGTGGCCCTTTGAACGTGGACTGGAGGCCTCAAGTCTGACTCGGGTCTTAAGCCCTCTCCCCCGAGACCCTGGAGCCACGGGCCTGGCGGCAGGGAGGGAGGGGGCAGACGTGGCGACCTGGCTCCCCTCTGGGGTGCTCACTCCTGGTGAGGAGGTGCGGATGGGGGGTTACCAGGTGTGGTGTCAGGGTCCCCGCGAAGGTGCGCGCTGGCTTCGGCCTCGTTTGGGAGGCCAGAGCTGCCCGGCTGCCCGCTAGCCTCCTGGGCCCCAGCGGGCCATGCAACGGGGCAGAGGGTGGGAGTGATGGGGGGAGCAGCCTCGGAGCCCATCTGTCAGCTCCGTGCCCGGCGGGCCGGTCACCAGCTGCCGGGGCCCTCATGGCGGCCAGATGAGTCGACTCCGTGAGGACACCGCAGCCCGGCCTGCAGCCGAGCAAGGCCCGCACTGACCCCTGCCCAGGCCCCCGGGACCGTCCGGGAGCAGCGAGACACCAGACAGAGAGAGCAGGGGTGGCGGGGAGCGACGCGCTCGCCTCATTGTAGAGATGGGCAGACTGAGGCCGGGAGGGGAAACCTCTACCCAAGGCCCCAGCGAGTCCAGTGGGGGCCCCTCCACAGAACCGCAGGACGAGGCCGAGAAGGAGGACAGGGTGCGTCACTGATGAGGACGGGGGGCGGGAAACCAAGTGCCCAGAGAGGGAAGCGGTCTTTAAGGGGGAGTGGGAGAGGCTCCACAGAGCGCGGACAGGTGCCTGGTCATTTGTACGAAGTTTATTTCGACATTTAAAAAAGAGAG